TCCTTAGAAGGAGGGTCCAGCCTGAGAAAAATTCCTCTCTCCAAAGTCCACAATCCAAAATGTGGCTAATAACAACACTTGGAGAAAAATCACAGTTGTATGCTCTGGTGTAACTATCTTGGCATACAGCATTGAGGATAAATTTCTCTTTTAAAAAGCCAGTGGAAAACACTTATCTAATGAATATGACTTAGTTTATAATGTGCAACCACATTGCTATGGAGAGCACCTTACTTTGCAGATGCAGAAACTCAGAGAGAAAGACAAAGTCATTTTCCTCCTGTCCTTCAAATTTGTCTCCTTTGCTTTCTGTATTTTCTTCACAGAACTCATTTATATCTTTTCCTCTCTCTATTTCCTGTAGAATATAAAATCCACAAAATCAGAAATTACCTTGACCCTTTTTATCTCAGGGGAAGGGGATGTTGGTTTTGAACCCAGAGCCTGATCCAAAAGCAGGCAATAGAGTCCATGTTAGAAAGAGCCCCCTCAATTCACCATGTGACCACATGAAGACCAAGCTGCCCTTTGGCCACATATATGTGCAGGGCTCCTAGGTCCAGACCATGCATGCTCCTTAGTTGATGTCTCAGTCTCTGTAAGGCCCTGTGGGTCTGGGTTAGTTGGTGATGGTCTTCTTGTGGGGTTACTGTCGCCTACAGGTCCTTCCATCTTTCCTCCAACACTTCCACAAGATTCCCAGAGATCCACCCCACGCTTGGCTGAAAGTCCCAGCATCTGTCTCAATACACTGCCAGGTGGAGCCAGGCATGTTAGGCTCCTTTGACGCTAAACCTTTATCCTCTCATCCTCTCCCCGTATGCATGGCAATCACCAATCATTATTACTGACTCCATTGTTTTGTATTTTTCAGGAAGTCACACAGTTGGTATCATACTGTTGAAGTCTTTCCCGACTAATTTCTTTAGCTGAGCAATATGTGTTTGAGGTTCCTCTGTGACTTGATCATTAATGCTATTTTTTTTACATTCATTTATTTAATGTGCTCTTGTGCATACACACTACAGGACAACTTCTCAGAGTCAGTTCTCTTCTATGTAGGTTCCTAGGTTAGAACTCATCAGATCTGGGAGTAATTATCTTTACCCGCTGAGCCATTTCTCAGCTCCAGCTCATATCATTTTATTGTTGAATGATGTTCATGGGGCAGTGATGCTACTAAATGTTAATTTGTCCACTAACACCTACTGACAGATATCCTCATGTCCTCCAAGCTTTGACAATTATTAATAAGGTTGTTTAAAAATCTCTGTGGATGTCTGAGTCTGTAGGTTTTCAACTAACTTGGTGAAACACAATGAAGCCTGACTTTGGTCATATGATAAAGTATGTTTACTTTTGTAAGAAACACAAATTTTCTTCCCAAGTGACCAGGCTACACTGCTTTCCCATCAGCAACGAGTGGAAGCTGCTGCTGCTGCCATCTTCAACCACATCGTTGTTCAGGGATATTGGCTGTGTTGATGAGTGCAGTGTCCTTTTCTTTGGTTTTCATCTGCCTGTGACATATGATGGAAACATTTTACTATTTGCTTACTTGCTATCGCTATATTCATCTTTGGGGAGGTATCTTTTCAGATTTCTTGCCCATGTTTTAACTGTGTTTGCTATTTACTTATCCTTGAGTTTTATGAGGTCTTGTGTGTCTTGGATACCGGCCCTTTATCAGATACGTGTTTCATAAATATTTTTTTTCCTAGTCTGTACTTTACTTCTTTGTTTTTCTTAGCTTTATTTTTTTTTTAAGTTTTAGATTTAAAGGAAGTTGTAACAATAATGTTTTCTTTCACATTATCATGCCTTTGGTGTGGTATGGGAAAAGTCATCAGCAGAGCCAATGTTATGTAGGTACCCTCCACACTGTGTAGCTTAGCATTTTATATTCAGAGCTATAACCCACTTGTAGTTAATGTGTCTAGATTGTTTTGCCTTTAATGGCCATGCCTAGAATGAAATCTGTATTTTTATATAAAATGTTTTGATTTTAAAGGTTGGCTAAGCGTCTCCCCCAGTGCAGTAACCCCCTATAACACACCTGTCAGTAGGCTGTGTCAGTCGATGTTGGAGCATTGTCCCATCCACCTAGATCTTTCTAGCACCCACCTAGCTCACACTTTCTCTACCCCACTTTTCTCACTGACTTCACTGGATGAATGCGACCAGACACTCAGTTAGCACTGACTCTGAGTGCACTTACGAGCTGAAAGTACGTTCTTGCACTCAGCTGTGTCCATGGGCCACCATCTACCCATCTTAGCCAGAGTGTAAATTCAGGGAGGGCACGAATTCTGCTCTTCTGGTTTACCCTAAGCAGCTTTACAGAGGTCTAGCTACAAAATATGCTCAATAAGAGTTGCTGACATTGCAGGCCAGCTAGACTTTGGTGCTAGATTATCACCTGCCCTTTGGCCCTCAGGAGAAACCTGGCTACTGCAGGAAGCTTGGGAAAGAATTGCCCAAGAGTGATACAAAGCAGCCTTAGCCTGGCAAGGGTAAAATGCTGGTAACTCTGACTTTGTTGTTCAATATAGTTTTATGCTCATAACAACAAGAGGGTCCCAATGTCCTAGGAGAAGTAGATGCATCATTAGAGTAACAGCAGATCATGAGTAATATAAATGTTTTTTTTTTCATTATGATTTCTACATGGTCATGGTGATCAATCAGTGCGTTATGAGAAATAGGAAGAAAGAATGAGCACACTAAAAAGAACAGGTAATTTCCTAATGACTTGATCCTCATATTATGCCCAATTAATAAGCAAAGGAATAATAATCTTCCACCCTAACCCCAGCCATACTTTTGTTTCCATCTGTATCAAATGTTTCTAAACATCTCAAAATGAACAAGGATGGGAGGAGTGAAGCGGTGGCTTGTGACCAGCCCAAACACCACAGCATGAAGTGCTGACAGATATCTGAATCCCCATTTACTCAAGGAAAGCAGTGACTTCCATTTGTCTGGACTGCCTAACTTCCATCTGTGGTCCATCCAGGCAAATTCTAGGCAGGAAAAACTGGAAAAACAGAAAGGAATCAGGGACATGCCTCAGGCTTAGGAAATGGCAGTGAACCTGCTGCAGAGTTTCTAGGGACTTTGGCATGGCCTTCACAGAGGGATGAGCAAACACAGGTACCTTGTGGGCAGCTCCACTGCATCTGTCCTCCCTAACGTCCATATCCATAGGAACCAGCCAGCAACTCACTCAACCTTGGGAACAGCAGTCTTGTGGGAAACAGCCAGGGTTCTACTCTAGTCTCTTCTAAAGACAAACAGGTACAACTATTCCTGATGTCACCCTCCATTCCCTGGAAAAGCCCTGAATTTGAACTAGGAAAAAAACAAACAAAACCCTGGATTTCATGAAGCAGGCTAAATGATCCCAATAAATGATGCAAACCAAATCATATACAGATACTCTAAAAATTATCCCAAGGTCCTTTCTCCGGCCTACTTTAAAAGACATATCCCCTTTACATTTAGCTGCTAAACAGTCTCTTGGTACACACTGTACTTGGGTGACTCGGGCACCCAAGCTACCACCTGCTAAAGACAAAGATTAAAGATCACTGGTTGGTATTGGTTGGTAAAATCAGAGTATTAAGCAACATGGGATAGAAATTCACCTTTGCTCATGCTGTGAAAGGGAACAGTAGTAACATATGCTAGGCTCACTGCTTTAAACAAAGGGGAGATGAGAGGGCCGAGGAAGGAGTAGGGTACAAGGAAGAGGACAGAATGGGAGTAGGATGGCGATTGGGGGAGAAAGGAGGTAAAAGAGGAGCTTAATAGCTCCTAAGGAAGAGGTGCACAAGAGCTTGAGAAAGCATACTGCAAGGCTAGAAGACTCCATGGGCAAGTCCAACTATGGAGAACCAAAGGAGACTCTGTGTCCATAAGCTGGAGAAATGCAACTGCTCTGAGCTCTGGAGTCACTGTCCACTTCTCAGTAAACAAACACACTATGCAGCAGATAGCATGTCAGCAATTAAATTTCATGAATGTTATGATTTAAAGGTGCAGTCAAACAAGAAAAGCCCTGCCTTGCTTAGTTTTATATTTCACCTCAGCCTCTAGTTACATTTCATTATCAGTAAGTCCACTTTGCAGTTGTTTTTCTTCTTAAGCATTTAATAACCCTCACTTTGTTCTAAAACAAATATTGAACCCATTTTGTGGATGACAAATATCTGAAATGAAGGGAGACCTTAGGTTGCTAATCACAGAACACACCACATTGAGGGACAGGGAAAAGGCATTGCTGTCCTATGTCACCCTCAAGTCTATGTCTCACCGAGAGAAACAACCACCTGTTTCTCTTGCTGAGCAGGGTGGGCTGAAATCACAAGACAGAACTTTCTGGCCCTGGCTGAATAGTTTCTGGGGAGGACTGGACAACTAGCCCCCAATACTTGACCTTGGCTACAGACACTCAAAGCCCCAGATGGAATGAAAAATGAAATGGCTCTTTCCTTTTATAGTCTGCAGTGAGATGTCACAATTACATGAAGGTTTGAGAAGGGGAAGACACAAAGGGCTACTCTATACCAAGTACTCCATGGAAGCAGACACAGAATTAGCATCAAACATCGCCAGTGTTCTCAGAGGAAGAGAAACTGAGACAACACGAATGAGCAAAACAGACTCGGTTACTCATCTGCTAGGTTCCTTGATGTTGTAACACTGAAGAAAATCGCTTATCATGCCCAGGAGCCAGCACAGGCAACAGCCATCAGCAAAGCCATCTCAGCGGGACAGTGCACCACAGACCGAGGGTAAGAAGCGGTGTGTTAACACTCTCCTTTGTGGCGATGATGCTTAAGAAAAATCCACAGCAAAATCAGCCAAGTTCCAAGTTCAGGGAGAAGGTTGAAACCAGGTCCATGGAACAGTGACCCAAAGTCAGGTTAAGCCATAGAAATTCCGGTGGGATGGATAATGGAAGGCCATGGGTAGCAGATGGGGGCTACCATACTTACAGTGAATTGGGTCGAGTAGGTTTGACCACATCCAGGTTTGGGTCACTGGAGTTCATATTGGGCTGCAGGCTGCTATTAGAATTAAGGATGCTGTTTGCACTCGAAGAGACTGATTCCAAACTGGAGTTGATGGTGCTGTTCCTTTGCTCCTCTGAAGAGAAAAAAAAAAAGGACAAAAAGCCCCATATGAATGCTAATAGAATAGGAATTGGCTCCTCCCACACATATGAAACTTTACAAATAAGGAGACTAAATTAAAATATCTGAAGCTTTGGAAAAGTACAGGGGAGCCAGGCACAGTAGCACATGGTTGTATTTTTAATAATTAGAAGATGGAGGCAGGAGGATATAGGAATAAGACTCCTTCTCAAAAAAAAAAAAATGGGACATAGGAAAGGGTGCAAATTAAGAGCAGTAATGGGGGAGGGGTGGAAAGGCAACTCAGTGAGTAAAAGCACTTGCCATCAAGTTCCAGTCCTTGGAACCCACACGGTGAATGGACAGAGCATGCTGTGCACTCATACAAAGACATATACCCTCCCTCTCTCAAATAAGTATAAAATGAAACAACGAAAGAGTAGGGCAGGAAAGGTCAGAAGGGAACAGGTCACATGGCCCTTTCTCTTGGTGAAAGGAACCCGACCTTTAGTGTGATCTGGGCTCTCTCCTCATCACAGCACCCTCAGATCACTTCATCTTGTACCTTCTTTTGACCCACAGACGGTAAGGACACAAAGAGGACCTCACAGACTCCTTCAGTTCAGCCACATTTTTTTTTCCCTAAAACCCCTGCCTCTAACATTGCCCTGACTGCTTCGGCTGTGTCATACCTCCAAATCTACATTGCATCACCATGGGATACCAATTTGGCCATCAATTTCCAGACTAATTTGATGGCCACACCCTAGAAACATCTGTCTGTCCACTTCTGCAGCCACACATCTGAGGTTTAACTTCAAGTTAATTCTTTAATAAACAGAGATGTAAGAGCTGCACAGCTGTCTGCACATGCAATATAAAAACTTAAAATCATAGTCCAAGCTACTGCATTTGGAAATTACTAACTACTACCAACCCAGAAAACAGAAACCCAAAATCTAAGAGTTTGCTCTGGCAATGAGACCTCAGGTTATTTTCAAGTTAAGACTTTTTTGTTAGTTTGTTTTTGCTTTTTGAGACAGGGTTCCTCTATGTAGCCCTGGCTGTCCTGGACTCACTTTGTAGACCAGGCTGGCCTCAAAGTCACAGAGATCTACCTTACCTCTGTCTCTCCAAGTGCTGGGATTATAGGTATGCACCACTGCGTCCAGTGACTGTTTATTTTTATTTTGTGTGTATGGGTGTTTTGCCTGTATGTATGCCTCTGCACCGCATGCACGTCCTGATGGATTCCTGGAACCCCATGTGTGTGCTGGGAATTGAACCTCGGTTCTCTATGAGAGCGGCCAGTGCTTGTTACCGCTGAGCAATTGCTTCAGCCTGACCTCAGAATACAAATAAGTCTATGAAATGGGAGAATGAGAACTGCCCTGCACAGCTCTTGGGCTGTCGTGAGGATCAAGTGGGATCATATGCAGGAATGTGTTTTATAAACATTGGGATACTGCTCAAAGAGGAAAAACTTTCTGTTTCTTCTCATCTTAAAAACCTTGGAAACAAGAATTGAAGGATCTGGGGAGGAGGATGCAGCTAAATGCCCTGGGTACTGCTGGTGGGGCAGCCTGTTACAGACCTGGAATGTCTGTCCCTTCCCTCATTCCAGACACACTGAATCAACTGATTTTGCTGGTAATTATTTCATTTTTTAAGAAATAAGTGGGCAAATTCTTCTGGAGCCTTCACATATGAGTTAGAGGCATGTTATATATAACTCAGAGGACAGATTGGTGTCACTGACATACTCATTTATAGGTGAACATTTGAACTTTGGTCTCTTTTAGACAATAAAGAAATAAGAGCATTTAAAAAAACACACTGTATCTTGGGGGCTAGAGAGATGGCTCAATGCTGAGGGAAGGATGAGAGAGAAGGAGAAGGGAAGGAGGGGAAGAGAAGTTGGGAGTGGGAGGGAAAAGGGAAAGGGAAAGGGGAAGTGCAGCAGGAAGACTGAGGGAGACAGTGAACAGGAACTTATTATCTAGATGGAAAATGACTGCATCATACACTAGTGACCATTGAGAACATGGCTTTGACACAAACAGAGGGGGATAAGTCCCATTACCCCCAAAGCACAGAAGAGAAAGCTGAAAACGTGTAGGTAGAATTTTTTCTGATACGCTGTCTTGACCAAGGGTAAGTAGGAAAGTGGGAGGAAAGTAAAGGTTACTCCAGAGAAAGGGTCAGGGAGTGAAATCAAAGCAAACCGAATGCTTCAGTGGTTCCAGCAAACTCCAACAAGACAAACTCCAAAGCATTTGGAATAAATTAAGAAATAGGGGAAAATGACTCAGTCTTGTCATTTAAGACAGTAAGCCCCGCCCCCTGTTGGCAAATGAATACCTGCTAGCAAAGCAGAAGGCTAGAAGACTTCCTCCAATGAAAAGGAAACAACTCACCACATAGGGAGCTGGACACCTGAACCCAGGATGACTCAGGCTAGCTCTAGCAGCCCCATCAGAAGCTAGAATGGGGATGTCTAGGTTGCTGGAGGAAAGAGGATTATGTGCTAATGGGCTTTGAGAGAGAAGAGCAACCAGTTACCAAGCCAACAGGATCACAGAGGACCATGTGGGTGATAAAAAAAGAAAGAATGCAGCTCCCAGGGCTGCTCCTAAGCTGGCTACAGTTGGTAAGAATGTTCTCCTTCCTCAGATTTGTTGTCACCGAATGCCACTTTGTTTATCAGCCACCAAAACCCAGAGCACCAGAATGAGGAAATGGCGGAATAAACTGCCACTAAGACACATTCATCAGGAACATGCTGGATGGGTTTATGAAAACGTGTTTTAAAGCACTGACAGCAGACACAAACTACTCAAGTGTAAGCATAGGCTATCTGGAAGAGTATCTTAAAAATGACCTATGAGGTCAGAGGTCACCACACTTTTCTGGTGAAAAGCTCATGCATTCTGCACACCAAAGCCCCATTAAGTAACAAATAGAAGAGAACAATAGGCAATCAAAATTTCTTCTGCTAGAATGGAGAGAGGTAGTTTTGTGGGACTGAATTTTGCAGGTGCTTCTGGCAGGGACCTTGAAACCAAAGCCTTGGCGAATGTGGGCAGCATTTATGTTTTCTGTACAAATGAGGAGCGGAAAATGCAAGTATGTTACCAAATCACTGCAACTCAAAAAGGAAAGCCACAGAGTAATTTTGGTGATGTTGTACTTGTTCAGGGGTTGCCATGGCTCTGTGGAAGCTAAGCTCCTGCACTTTTCGTATTTACTAAGTGACTCCAACTCAAATGGCAACCCCATCCAACACAGGAGGCAGGATCTGTTTATCACAGAGCCCACAGGCGAAGGCTGGGAAACACAGAGCCAAGCCAAATGCACAGGTCTTGGCAGGCTTGAACTTGTCTGGTCCTCTAAACACACAGAACTGAAGGGTAAACATGAAACATAGATCCTTGTCACTTTAAGGGATATTTCCCATTCTGCAGAGGCCTGTCAAATTTTGGGCTAATATGTTATTTTTCCACAACAGCAATAACAATAAAAAACCCTAGATATTGAAAAGAAGAACTCATGATTCCTCACAGAGACAAATCTCCCCCCTGAACACACACACCTCCCCACAAGCATGAGGAGAAAAGGGAGTTACCAGTCAGAGTCTTTGCAAAGTCCCAGAGTTTTACACAGAGAACAGGGAGGCACAAGCAAAACCCCCAGAGGCGTTCTCGTGCTGAGGCGGGGAGAGGTATACTCTCCACTGCTGGTTAGAGTGTTGCAATGAAGTCTGTAATGCATCATCTTGACAAGATAGGATGATAATAGCATGGCAGCTTAATGAATTTTGCAATAAAAATGATGAATGCACAGCAGTTTCTGAATTTGCCATCTCTGGGAAACACCCAAGTACATGGGAAGCTAATACTCAGACTCTGTGACTGGGCAATGTAGATTCTTTTTGCACTATGGCGTTCCTCCCTGATAACAGAGCAGAGCAAAGCCAGAAGAAAAGCCAAGGTGGTCTGTTTTCCTGCTGACTCAGTCAGTGCCATGATAAAAACAAAGGCACAAACTGTGTTATATGTCTGGGCCTACGAAACAGCAGCTCGGGCAATGAATTCCAGTAAACAAGTGTCTGATGAGTGAAAGAGCATGGCCAGTGTATGGCCTGATCTTGTGTGTAGCACCCGGAAACAACTCTCACCACGTCGCCTTCAGAGAACGGCTTCTAGTTTGGTCCAGAGTGGACTGGCTAACTTATGTACCCTCTTTCTGTGGTGCTCATTATAAATTTTTCCTTTGCAAAGAAAAAAAAAAAAAGAAGAAGAAAATATCAATAAAGGTGGATCTTGTGAGGGAGTGGAGAAGGCACTGTGGCTGGCCCAGGAGTGAACTGACTCCTAGGAATGAGGCATGGAGGCACAATAGAGAAGCAGGTCCCGAGGTGCCACACTCCCATACTGAAGGCTGCAGAGGCTCCACTTAATGGCTCCACTAGGACCTGAATGATTAGAGGTAAGTGGACTCTCTACCACTTACCTACCACAGCCAACTTGCTGCCACCCTGCTGTGGACTGCTGGTAAGAAACTATGTCTTACTTATTTCTATACGACGAATCATTCTAAACTGGCTGGAGACGGTACATAGATGATACAGCTAGGGAACTTGTTGTATAAGGAAAAGTCAATACATAGTAAATAGGCATTCCTCTCCAATATAGAAAATACAGAAAAGCATGTATATATACTGATACCCAATATGTGCGACCTTCTAGCTATATTCATTTTGGCAATTAAACATTCAGTTATTGTGTTATACATGGACAAAGACACAGACAGGTAGACACACAGACACACGTACACACACACAAATTAGTTGTCTTTTTAACAGAAAGACCACATCACACCTAATGTTACATTCTCTGCTCTCTTCTTGTAATGATAAGGCACAGATGTAAGCCTAGAATATCCTCTGCTCTATTTAATGACCTATCTTAAACTTTCCTTATTGTCATTTGCCTTCTGCATATCAGTTTTAAT